CATGAGCTGCAACTACACCAAAGGTTCAGTACCAGCATCTTTTGAACAACTATTCAGCATCGACCAGTTTTCCACTAATTGCAAACTTGTCATCATGTTACTAGAAGCTGAGCACTGCTGGCAAACTGTGGTGGAAAACCATCAGAGGACATGTTTTCCAAAACTTCTCTTTTCTGCCAGAATGCTGCAACAAGTTGCCATTTGTGGGCAATTTGCACATTTTTGGAAAGTTATTTTTTGCTGCAAATCATCCAGCAAAGTCTGTTTTAGTAAAGCACTGGTTGAAAAGAGGGCTGCAGGTGGAGCGGTGGTGAGCACCGTCGCCTCACAGCTAGAAGGTCGCTGGTTCGGGTCCTGGTGAGGACGCCCGGGATCTTTCTCGTGGAGTCTCCATGTTCTCCCCGTGCAGCGTGGGTTCTCTCTGGGTTATGTGAATGTGAGTGTGCTTGGTTGTCTGTCTCTAAGTGTAGCCCTGTGATAGACTGGTTACCTGTCCAGGTGAACCTGCCTTCACCCTGAGTCAGCTGGGATAGACTCCAGCCCCCCATGACCCCAGTGAGGATTAAGGTGTAGAAATGACGGATGGTTGAAAAGAAAAACTTAGCAAGATCACCTAAAGTCTTTAGGATTCATCCACTGGAGAGCATGAATGTCTACGCTACCTTTAAATCCATCCAGTAGTTGTGTCACCAAAATGAACTAGAATCCAACGACGAGGACTTTTGTTAATTCTTTTGTGTTTCTACTTGTGTATAAATTTAAATGCATGCCTTTACTTGTGCCAGTGTTTCTACATGGCTGTATGAAGCCTGAGTGTTTCCTTCACCTCTGCTGACCCTGACCCATGCAAACTCTCTTATTTTAAATCTTTAATTTTTATAGATATACTCAAAATAGCAATAAATTAACGGACCCTTTCCTCAAAAACTATGGTTCAACGAGGAAGTTGGCCAGTCAAGAGAGGTGTGTCAATATTGGCTTGTTCGCAGATAACACAAACGTGGACGCAACAAGTCGGTTAAACTCTAACCGCAGTCGTAATGTGGTTGCTATAGCGACACAATGCAAAGGATGATATCAGCACTGATTTATTTCTTTCAATAACTTCCTACAGATAAAAAACGCATTAATTTGACTGAGACAAAACGGATTTACTGCAGTTGGAGAACAGACCTAAACCACGACGCAGCACTGGAACTCTCCAGTGAAAGCACTTTGTTCAAAACAGAAGAATTAGCAGGTGTTCAAGACGAGCTGACGGGAAACTCTGCATTTCTTTTCATTTGTTTCTCTGCAGGAACACGTGTCGTAGCTTTCTCAGCCTGGACTCGTTGACGATCACCACGCTATTAATACTTGAAGGCTATTTGGAGGCTCTGTGAAGAAGAAGATAGGCCTGATTTACACAGATCCTCAGTGAGAAGTGGAATTAGCAGGCGTTCAGACTCCAACCAGCCAGGTGTGAATGTCTGTAAGCTCATCATTTACATGCAATGAGAAGGATAGACGTGTTGCTCCACTCTCTCAGATTTAGTGATTTAAAACCCAAAACCTAGTTCTGTAAAATATTTTAGCTGCAGTTTTAGAATTTTGAATGTTTTCACACCTGAGATTTTATGCTTTTTCTCCCTCTAAGTAAAAAATAAAACCTTGCCTGGGAAGCTGTTATAAGGGTTCAGAATCTCCAGAAGTGTAACTCCCATAGCCGCTAAGTCTGGTGAGGACAGAATAGCTTCGAGCAGATCCAAATGATTGAATGGCTCCAGCAGACGACACATTTTTAATGACCAGAGCTTGAAAATGGAAAATAAATAAATAAATGTTCCC